CGCAAATGGGATAGTCTTATGTCAAAGACGACTAAAGAGCGATATTAGGGTGAGGCCTTGGTTATGTTTGTGTGAACAGACACTCATATAAACGCATCATATATGACGTCATAGATCCATGACTCGCGATGCACCATTTGTCTCGTGCAGGATTAGTTTGTAAAGTTTGGAAATCAGCTGCAGCATATCGTGATAAGAATAAAGACACTGTGGTAACACTTGACTGATAATTAGTTTCGTCATTAATTGGTACACGTTGGAAACATCTCTTCTTAACGTACACTCTTCTCTACACGTTTCTATGGTTCGCGTTTCTTTTGGCGGTGAGCATATGATAGTCGCAACTATTTGTGTGAGGATGCAATCGTCCATGGTTTCATGAGAAATGATAGCTTCGAGTATAGTTAGGAATAAGAATACCCGGCAGTGTCAGGAAATGTGAGTTCCTGGTGGTATTTGGATATACTAGTCCCATTCCGTAATTATAAAAGTCTTTTTATACAGGCGTTGGTATGAGCCCACGGTCTGTCCTTGGACCTGGACGGGCTGTATTGACCTGAGGCAACGCCTACCAATAAATTTTTCAAGAGACGTAGAAGAAAATGTGGGAATGCGAAATGTTCTATTGAACTGTTATGATTACAAGAATGTTCACGCCGACAAAAGCTGTTTTGATCTGTCAAAACTGAATTAGACCTCTTTGGACCGTATTGGTACGCTAATCATATATTGGCCTTCTATATGCGTCTAAGTATAGGGGTGACATTAATTTACCACCCCTTAGATATATGCGTCTTAGTATAGGGGTGACTATTATTATTGTCACCGCCTAAATATATACGTCTTGGTTTTGGGGTGACTATAATTATTGTCACCCCCTAGATATATGCGTCTTAGTATAGGGTGACTATTATTATTGTCACCGCCTAGATATATGCGTCGTGGTATAGGGGTGACTATAGATACATGCGTCTTAGTATAGAAGTGACTATAATTATTGTCACCGTTTATAATATATGCGTCTAAGTATAGGGGTGACTTTAATTATTGTCACCCCTAGATATATGCGTCTTAGTATAGGGGTGACTATAATTATTGTCACTGCTTAGATATATGCGTCTTAGTATAGGAGTGACTATTATCATTGTCACCGCCTAAATATATACGTCTTGGTTTTGGGGTGACTATAATTATTGTCACCCCCTAGATATATGCGTCTTAGTATAGGGTGACTATTATTATTGTCACCGCCTAGATATATGCGTCTTGGTATAGGGGTGACTATAGATACATGCGTCTTAGTATAGAAGTGACTATAATTATTGTCACCGTTTATAATATATGCGTCTTAGTATAGGGGTGACTTTAATTATTGTCACCCCTAGATATATGCGTCTTAGTATAGGGGTGACTATAATTATTGTCACTGCTTAGATATATGCGTCTTAGTATAGGAGTGACTATAATTATTGTCACTGCTTAGATATATGCGTCTTAGTATAGGGTGACTATTATTATTGTCACCGCCTAGATATATGCGACTTGGTATAGGGGTGACTATTATTATTGTCACCGCCTAGATATATGCGTCTTGGTATAGGGTGACTATTATTATTGTCACCGCCTAGATATATGCGACTTGGTATAGGGGTGACTATTATTATTGTCACCGCCTAGATATATGCGTCTAGTATAGGGGTGACTATAATTATGATCACCCCCAAGATATATGCGTCTTGGTATAGGGGTGACTATAATTATTGTCCCCGTTTATAATATATGCGTCTTAGTATAGGGGTGACTTTAATTATTGTCACCCACTAGATATACCCCTATACTAAGACGAATATATCTAAGCGGTGACAATAATTATAGTCACTCCTATACTAAGACGCATATATCTTGGGGGTGCTAATAATTATAGTCACCCCTATACAAAGACGAATATATCTAGGGGTGACTATAATTATTAGCACCCCCAAGATATATGCGTCTCAGTATAGGAGTGACTATAATTATTGTCACTGCTTAGATATATTCGTCTTAGTATAGGGGTGACTTTAATTATTGTCACCCCTAGATATATGCTTCTTAGTATAGGGGTGACTATAATTATTAGCACCTCCAAGATATATGCGTCTTAGTATAGGAGTGACTATAATTATTGTCACCGCTTAGATATATTCGTCTTATTATAGGGTGACTATAAATATTGTCACCCCTAGATATATGCGTCCTAGTATAGGGGTGACAATTATTATTAGCACCCCCAAGATATATGCGTCTTGGTATAGGGGTGACTATAATTATTGTCACCGCTCAGATATATCCGTCTTAGTATAGGGGTGACTATAATTATTGTCACCACTTAGATATATGCGTCTTAGTATAGGAGTGACTATAATTATTGTCACCGCTTAGATATATTCGTCTTAGTATAGGGGTATATCTAGTGGGTGACAATAATTAAAGTCACCCCTATACTAAGACGCATATATTATAAACGGGGACAATAATTATAGTCACCCCTAAACCAAGACGCATATATCTTGGGGGTGATCATAATTATAGTCACCCCTATTATTAGCACCCCCAAGATATATGCGTCTTAGTATAGGGGCGACTATAATTATGGTCACAGCTTAGATATATGCGTCTTAGTATAGGGGTGACTATAATTATTTTTACTCACTAGATATATGTGTCTTAGTATAGGGCTGACTATAATTATGGTCACCGCTTAGATATATGCGTCTTAGTATAGGGGTGACTATAACTATTGTCACCCACTAGATACATGCGTCTTAGTATAGGGGTGACTGTAATTATTTTCATCCACTAGATACATGCGTCTTAGCATAGGGGTGACTATAATTATTGTCACCCACTAGATATATGCGTATTAGTATAGGGGTGACTATAATTATTGTCACCCACTATATAGATGCGTCTTAGTATAGGGATGACTATAATTATTGTCACCCACTAGATATATGCGTCTTAGTATAGGGGTGACTGTAGTTATTGTCACCCACTAGATACCTGCGTCTTAGTATAGGGGTGACTAATTATTGTCACCCGCTAGATATATGCGTATTAGTATGGGGGTGACTATAATTAGTGTCACCGCTTAGATAGATGCGTCTTACTATAGCGGTGACTAAAATTATGGTCACCCACTAGATATATGCGTCTTAGCATAGGGTTGACTATAATTATTGTCACTCACTAGATATATGCGTCTTAGTATAGGGGTGACTATAATTATTAGTACCGCTTAGATATATGCGTCTAGTATAGGGGTGACTATAATTATGGTCACCCACTAGATATATGCGTCTTAGCATAGGGGTGACTATAATTATGGTCACCCTCTAGATATATGCGTCTTAGCATAGGGTTGACTATAATTATGGCCATCCGCTTCCCTAGACATAAGCGTCTTAGTATAGGGATGACTATAATTATTGTCACCCTCTAGATATATGCGTCTTAGCATAGGGTTGACTATAATTATGGCCATCCGCTTCCCTAGACATAAGCGTCTTAGTATAGGGATGACTATAATTATTGTCACCCACTAGATATATGCGTCTTAGTATAGGGGTGACTGTAGTTATTGTCACCCACTAGATACATGCGTCTTAGTATAGGGGTGACTAATTATTGTCACCCGCTAGATATATGCGTATTAGTATGGGGGTGACTATAATTAGTGTCACCGCTTAGATAGATGCGTCTTAGCATAGGGGTGACTATAATTATGGTCACCCTCTAGATATATGCGTCTTAGCATAGGGTTGACTATAATTATGGCCATCCGCTTCCCTAGACATATGCGTCTTAGTATAGGGGTGGCTATAATTATTTTCACCGCTTAGATAGATGCGTCTTAGTATAGGGGTGACTATAATTATTAGCACCCCCTAGATATATGCGTCTTAGTGTAGGGGTAATTGATGTCGCCTTTAGATATATGCGTCTTAGTATAGGGGTAATTATGGTCACCCCCTAGATATATGCGTCTTAGTATGGGGATGACTATAATTATTGGGGTGCTTATAATATGAGCATGGGTATATTAGTATATAATAGTCTTTGGCGGTTTTAGAAAAAGATACACCCGTGAAGATCAGGAGTAGAATAGGTCTTCAGCAACCAATGCTTGCGGTGAAAGGAGACTATGCTTGTCGTAAGAGGCGACTATAACGGGATCGGGTGGTCAGGCTCGCTGACTTGAATGATGCATGTCATCGTATCCCAATTAAGTGGATCGATGTTCATGATGCTTAGACTGGATTGTCTGGTCCAGACTCGATTAATTTACAGACTGCCTTTATATAGCTGGAATATTGCTGAGTGCGGCGTTAACAAACAAACAAAAAAAGAAAAAGATACATCCTGGCGGTGTCAGTATTACTTTTTAGAAAATAATTTCCCTCGCAGCAACAGGACAAAGTCCTTGACAGTAATAGAAAGAACCACTTCTTAGTCCCTACGGATATTAGAAAGACAATGTCAACAAAGGACACATTACAGACCTCTTACGCATCTTTGTCGTCGATCTACAGCAATGATGAGGCTATACCATTTGACGAATATAAACTTCTAAATAATAGAACCTGTGAAGCCGGATATGATATAAAAACGTGAGTTTATATCTGTCAGATGAGCAGAACCCCTTCCTTGTTGACCATGCTAGTGTGCACAGCCATCGACATTGTGATTGTCAATGATGCCGTCTCACAAACACTGAGCGCCGGCGCTGTTCAAGTCGTCACGCAAACGGCGACAACCAAGTTTATCGTGTAAGGAGACGATTTGAACATGCGTCAGTCTACAAAGAAGTGGCTCTTTCAGCTTGGCGGATTTTAGGCCGGGTTGTGACCCAACACACACGTCAACGTGTACGACGTCGTCTGTCGCTCCGTGCCTCACGTCCACTCTACCGGGGTTAACATCCGGTTGCTCTCATCTCCGGCTAAATAGCTCCACGAGTCGTATCTGTGCAAGCTCAAACTGTCACCGCTGAGTATTTAAACCCCCTTTGTTGACCTTTGCTTACATTTTGAGAATTGGCGTTTGCTAGTTAATTACAGGCCTCTCCGTCTCAGCGCAAGCTCGCCTTACAGATGTAATGTGTGAATTTTGGAGATCATTTCAAAATTTAACAAGTGCTGCCGCGGTCCACTGTCACATTTGAATGAGGATTTGTGAAAAAATGTCATGGAGGCAGAGAATTGAAAATATTTAGATTCTACTGAGTATTTTCCTTGTGCGGTTTAAGAGACGCTGGCACTTTGGACATCTCCACCGTCCCGTTGTGAAGAGATCGATTCAACTTTGAAGTTTATACACCGGGATTGAAAGACTTGTTTGAAAAAAAGCTTTAGTACAAGTGTGTTGGACCATGAAAGCTGAAGTAGTGTTCGTGATGGCAGTATTTCTGCAGGCTGCTATCGAGACAGCCAGCAGCGTTGAGAACCGTTGTACGGCAACGAATTGTAAGCTACCCGACTGTCGATGTCCTGGCCATAACATTCCCGGGGGATTCAAACCTGAGCAGATCCCACAGATGGTCCTCATCACATTTGATGACGCAGTAAACTGGGAAAACTGGGATTATTACAAAAGGCTCTTCCCCCCAGATAGAAGCAGGCTCAACCCCAACGGCTGCCCCGTGGCGTCAACGTTGTTCGTGTCCAACAACTTCACCGACTACTGCATGTTGAAGAAACTGCATGCCCGCGGCCTGGAGATCGCAGATCATAGTGTATCTCATCGTGTTCCACATTCGTGGTGGGGTGCAGCATCTGACGAAGAGCTACGGGAAGAAATTGTCCAACAGAAAAAGAATCTTGCCGATCTGGCTCAGATACCCGTCGAGGACATACGAGGATGGAGAAGCCCGTTCCTTCAACCAACAGGGGACACCATGTTCAACATTCTGTACGAAAATAATTTTACGTATGATGCTACAATGACTTACCCGTTTCCCAGAAATGTGTACTCCCCTGTCATGTGGCCCTTCACCCTCGACTACTCCTACACCTTGGTCTGCAACATCAGCCCCTGTCCCAAGAACCAGTACCCTGGTTTCTGGATTCTTCCCGTGGTGGTCATGATGGACTATCGAGAACACCTGCCTTGCGCGTATGTCGACTTCTGTAAAAACGCCCCCAGGAACCAAGACGAAGCTTTCCAGCTTCTCTGGAAGAACTTTCTCAGAAACTACCGAACCAACCGGGCACCGATGTACGTTAACCTTCACTCAGTCTGGCTCCAGACAAAGTTCAACTTGGACGCCATGGACGAATTCATCGAGAGGCTCACGTCAATGGACGACGTGTACGTCACCACCGTCAGCAAGGCCATAGAGTGGATGAGGAACCCTACCCCACTGACAGAGATCCAAAGCTTTGAGCCGTGGCAGTGTGTGAAGAAACCGAACTTAGAAGACGACGCTTTCTGTTCTTTCACCTTCAAACCTATAACGACCTTGGCGCCGGGGCAGAAAACCACGGACCACCAACACGTTCACGGCGAGGAAGAGAAAGACAAAAACAGGAACCGCAACACAATAGGAAGGAATAAACCTAATGATAGACTGGGTAAAATGGACCTACCCCCTCCTAGCGACGCACACTCAAACCATAAAAAGCACAGACCGTGGTTCTTGAAGAATTCGGGTTCGGAGGTGAATTTATGTGCAAACCTTGTTTTCACCTTGTTGCTGCTACCTTTAGTAATTTTTATCAGGGTATAGACATAATTATTCGTGATGGTGAATATCTTGGGACGATGTGAAAGTTGTGTACAAACTGTTACGGATTGATGGAAGTCTTTAAGGTAAACATATGATGATTCAATATTGGCACGAAGTTGTAGTTGGCTAACTATAAAACCTGTTAAGTAGAGATTTTTCTTCATTTTCTACTTTTCAGAGTTTCACTGTATCGTACTCAATTATATTTATAAGAACTGTTAATATGATATCTCTTTTGTAATTTTGTACATATATGTAGCCGAGGGTACGGGGCATGTAGTTTGAAGCTTTACGCTACTTGAGCAAAACATCGTGGAATATCCGATTTTTCTGAAAGTTTATAGTTTGCGAGTTGGGTGTCAAAGATGCGGCCGCGCCTTTTCTGTGGGCGCAAATGTCTATGACAGCTATCTCGAGACAAGCGCCCGATCAAAGCATCCTCCACGCAAGTTTTAATTTGTTAAAGTCACGCATAATTTGAACCAAGGAATAATAAGAAATTGAGAATTAATGCCACAGGCATCTCATTTCAAAAAGCATCGTGACGTCATAATCAGATTACCCGCAATCGCCAGTTTGTATAATAAGCAAGAGACTAGACCAGGCTATAGTGACAGCGTTGACGGAAACAGCCGAGTTGTATCTGCACTTTGTCCGCCTTTTCTGGCCGTATGTATAACTGTAAATATTGTGTTGAAAAAGTAGCCGAACATGCTGATAAGTCGTTTGCAAAGGTACTTGATCATGTTTTCTGACTCAATAAACAACTAAAGGCTCAAATCGAGGTACGTTAATTTCTATAGTGACGGCATACGCTAATTATGCGCATAGCGAGGCGGTTAAAGGGGAACGAGGCTGTGGCCATTCGGCTGTTCCAGCAAATGCTCAAACAGCACTGTTTTTTTCTGTTAATTTCATTATTGTGCAGCTCAATCAGTTGATAAAACCCCAAATTAGACATAGATAGTGTCTCAGTCACAACCAGGGCACTAATCACAACGTCTAGACCTAGACGAAACGAGCACCAGGCTGTCGCTCACAGACCCCCTTTAAAGTTGAATTTCTGTCCGAAATTAATTGATTACTAATATCCTGTCACACGTGGTATTACAGTGCTGATTGTGTTAAAATACATATCAATTGCTTGCTGTAACTTTTACTATTTCAGAAAAGCATTGAAAACATGTGGCCGTATTCTGAAATTTAAATTAACAATTTAAGTCAAATAATTCCACGTTCGCACCTTCTGTTTGTACATAGATTAAGACTGCCTCGTGCCAGAGTATCAAGGCCAAGTATTACTGGAGTAGGTTATTTCCCAGGACACGAGCTCGAAATCTTTTTTTATCTCCTCCAAGCCAAAACACTAACGTGCTAAGATCAGATTAAATATATAAGATTGTTCTCAATCTAACATACTTTACCCCGTTGTGTATAAACAGATTTAGTGTTGGGAAAATCCTATTGTCAGTAAGATTAAATCCCCTAGAACATTCACGTTGATGTTAAAGATGTCATTAGGACTTAAGTCATTGTCCGTGTGTGATTCGGGTTTGCTATAGTTGAGTCATATCACGGTGGGGACAAAGAGAGTGAGTCTCCAAGATTGTACCCATGTTGGGAGTAGAACCGGAAACATCAGTGTAGCAAGCAAATGTTCTAAACGATTGGCTCCTCCAAACTCAGTCACATATTTCTTAAGCCGCAACTGTATATTAAACACTTGGTGTTGACTAACCATTTCTAAAGGAGGTCTTTGGCATTTAGATTGGCAAGAACACCTGAAGCCTTTATGGATAAGAGATTTTGGTGGTTTTTCCAATTCGTGGACCTTAACTGCTGAAGCGGCTGGAATTAGCCCCGAAATGCTGCTTGAGAGTTAAAGGTCTTGTGATGAAAGGACAAAAAGTACACTTGAATTGTTGGTAGTAATGATGTTAAAGATGTTGGGATGAAAGGGCAAGAATATGCCCTGAAACATCGCTAGAAATGATAAAGAAACGGGGCAGGAATTGGCCCTGAAACATCGCAAGAAATAAAGGGGAGAGGTAGGAATTGGCCCTGAAACGTCACTAGAAATGATAAAAGCATTGTGATGATGGGACAAGACCTGAAACATCGCTAGAAATGATAAAGGGAAGGGGCAGGAATTGGCCCTGAAACGTCACTAGAAATGATAAAGCTGTTGTGGTGAATGGACAAGCCCTGAAACGTCGCTAGAAACAGTAAGAACTTGTTATTGGTACATGCCTCTCGTCATTATTAACACATCAAGAAACGCCTTAATCGTTCATCGTTAAAAATGAATGGTGTTTATGAACATGATTAAAATAATCAAATAAAAGGTAATAAGATTATTGGGCAGAAAGTCTTTGCAGCCAGCGCTTTGGGAGTGCGATTTGGATCTGATGCTGCTTTCGGAAGGTCTGAAAGTGCTTACATTTTCTTTGAACTCTGTCTACCTTCGTGTAGGGTGCCGCCACTAGTGCAATATTGTAAACAGGTGTATGGTATAGTCCTCTATCCTGTCTATCCTGTATAGTAGTCTATCTGCCCTGTCGTGTATATGATTTGTACTGTGTATAGTCACTGTTGTACATAATCAGTTAAAAGGTTAAAAAATAAAGTTCTGTTGTAACATTTCATATGTTTGTGGTTATTTTATTGTGAATATAGGAAACAGTGTTGATGGATTTTTAGTAAATTGACACAGATATAGAGAATCTCACCCGAGTGTCCTTATATATCAAATATATCAACACGAGTTGATAAAAGTGGAAAAACTCCGAGGCTTGTCGTGTAGTTTTTGCTACTTTTATCAACGAGTGTTGATATGTTTGATATCAAAAGACACGAGGGTGAGATTTTATTTATTATCCAACGTCATTCTTCTAACTTTTTCAGTTTGCAGACAGTAATAAGCAGTGTCTTAAGTGTAAAAAGTACTGCTAACAGTTTCCGTAGCAGAGCCATTTGTGATGTCATTTGATTGAGATGTCATGGTAACCAATGATGCCACAATGGTCTGCAAAGCATTGTGATGCAATTTCATTGCAGCGATATCTACAATGTAGATCTCACCCAAGTGATATCTCCTGTGGGAGCCAGTTTCGGATGATAAACACATTAATCACCCAAAACTAGCGTGTAGGCAGCCTCCGTGTCTAGTGGTAGAGCGATTGCCCGGAGAGCGGAAGGTCGGTGGTTCGATTCCGACTACGCCATACCAAAAGGTGGTACTTGTTGTTACCCTGTCTGGCGCTCGGCATTAAGGGGTTAAAACAAGTACTGGTCAGCTCGGAGTCAGTATACTGTGTCTGAGTGGGATATTCATGTTGCACTGCGGCATGATATTGCACTATGAAACCGACATTACTCCGGACTAGTACAAGTACGCACGCACACAAGTAGCTACAGAAGTGCCATGTGTTTAATGAACCATTATACATGGCAGAGTCGCATGGCTCAGTAACACAAAAGCAGCATTACCTCTATAAGATTATCATATAAAGATGATGATACCAACTTGCTTAAATATTTCAGAGTCTGAGGATTATTATTATTGTCGTGTTGTTAAGAGTCATTGCTATATATGACATCACGTACATGTAGCTCGATAGTTTTGTAACGTCAGACATTCCAGACAGGAGTTCACGTATCTGTCACGGTGGTGGTATTTCCTCGCAGTGTCTGACATGTCCTTCATGTTGTTTGCTTCAACAGAATCAGAAAACGCGTTATCGTCACACTGGATTGTCTAGTCCAGACTCTCTCTCACTGTAGTGTCTGGCCTAGAGTTTATATCACTGGATTGTCTGGTCCAGACTCTCTATCATAGACTAACATCTAGTTTGAGGGGCAGTCGGGTAGCCTAGTGGTTAAAGCGTTCGCTCGTCAGACCGAAGACCCGGGTTCGATTCCCGACATGGGTACAATGTGTCAAGCCCATTTCTGGTGTCCCCCGCTGTGATATTGCAGGAATTTTGCTAAAAGCGGAGTAAAATCAAATTCACTCACTCACTCTATGAAATGAACATATTTTACAGACAAAAATAAATTATCTTAACAACAGAAAATGAAAAGGAGCCAACGGACATTTCTTTATTTTCAGATACTGCAGTCATCTAGACTTGTCAAATATTATAGACTTGCAAGGGCTGTATTGCATATTTTTGTTTCATGGTCGGTATGACAGACTAACTCTTTCACTGGATTGTCTGGTTCAGACTCGTTATTACTCACTGGATTGTCTGGTCCAGACTATCTGTCACTGGATTGCCTGGTTCAGACTTGCTATCACTCATTGGATTGTCTGGTCCAGACTCGCTGTCACTGGATTGCCTGGTTCAGACTCGCTATCACTCACTGGATTGTCTGGTCCAGACTCGCTATCACAGGATTGGCTGGTCCAGACTCTCTATCACTGGAGTGTCTGGTTCAGACTCGCTATCACAGAATTGTATACTCAAGACTCGACTGTTTTCAAGTCGGCGTCCTATTGGCAGGAGTAGTGCTGTGCGGTGTTAGGCCACGAACAAACACTTACTTTTCAGATCCTTGTGATACGTAATAATTGGATAGTTTCCATTAAAATTTCCTTAAAATAGACTATTCATCTATAATTTTCCCAAAATTCCCTTTAGCAAACAAACATTTTCCGGTCCTATCATCTGCCAAGTGGCTAGAGCCAAATACACCACTTCTAACGGGGTTTTTTTGGTGATGTGCATGTACTTTGAACGCTTTGCAGACCGCCTCCGTGGTCTAGTGGTAGACGTTAAAAGATGGTACTTGTTATTACCCTGTCCTGCGCTCGGTATTAATGGGCTAAAACAAGGCCTGGTCGGCTCGGAGTCAGTATGCTGTGTCTGAGTGGGGTATTCATGTTAAACTGCGGCATGGTATCTCAGTGGGCTAGCACTATAAATCGACATCAGTCCGGACTAGTACAAGCAGCCACACACACGCACACGTGCATGCACGTCGCTATATAAGTGCAATAATCTTAGATGCGACGTTAAACCGAATTTCACCTCACCTAATACTTTGAATAACGAAAAACTAACAAGCAGCAGGTTCGTTATTCAGACTTGGTATAACAAATATAAGATGCCGTTTTTCCAGCGGGTTCGTTTTTCGTTATTCGTTTTTAGAATAACGAAAAAGAAGCCAGCAGCGGATTCGTTGTGTATATATACTCACGTAAGTAAAAGTGTCCATGTGAATGGGGCTTAAGGCGCCACGATTCGCTGTGCAGAGTTTCGTCCCTTGGACACACCAGAAACCTATGATTGTGGGTTCGAGTCCCCGGTTCGCCCCGATTATGTTTCTAGGTTTGTCAGCACCATACCAGTGCTCGTGGGTTTCACCGAATTGGTAAACGTTTGAGACCTGCATCACTCCGGGCTTTTCTCCCACATCAAACTGACACACCGTGATATAATTGGAATGATGTTAAAACCTGTTAGACCTTTCGTAATTGGCATTGAGTAAGCTTTTCGGTATAGGTATAAAATAGTAATATATTCCATATTTTTTAAATGTCTTCAATGCATAAACCATGTTTACAGTTGCGTAGGCAGACATAGAATCGTTTGTTATCAGCACAGTAAATTTTCCATGATATCTGAATCATTATGAGTAAATGAGTTTGTTTTACACCGCTTTTAGCAATATTCCAGCAACACAAATTTAAGCAGATATATGGGATCTACCCAGCTTAATACATTATTGATCAATGACAGCCGTACGACTTCTTTGAACTCTGCCTACAACATCTGCACCATCGTTCTTCGCCTCGCTCGCATCAATATCAACACCATCTAAATGACCTACATATTTTGCTCGGCTGTATTTACAAGAAGATTGTCGTTAGATGAAATGTAAATACCACAACGTTCACACCTGATAAAAAGTAAATATAACTGACTAGGTACGTAATGGAATTATATTCCCAAACCATAAACTGTGTCGGTCGGTATGTACAAAATGCAGTCAATGGAACCACAGGTATCCGACAAGGGAATGGTATTTGTTTCATTTGCCTCATCAACATTTAATACATACCAAAACGTAACCCACACAAAAATATAAAGCTATTCATACTCGCATCTTCATTCTTTGTTGTAAGCAATGTCATTGAAATTTAGCATGTATTTCCTGAAGAGACGTCATCGTTATAGAATTACAGTTGAAAGGGTTGAAGGTGACGTCAAGGTCATCTCCTATGATCAGGTAGTTTTGAGTGAGTGAGTGAGTGAGTATGGTTTTACGCCGCTTTTAGCAATATTCCAGCAATATCACGGCGGGGGACACCAGAAATGGGCTTCACACATTGTACCCATGTCGGGAATCGAACCCGGGTCTTCGGCGTGACGAGCGAACGCTTTTACCACTAGGCTACCCGACAGCCCCTCAGGTAGTTTTGAATTGAGGCAGTTGGGGTGATATATATGTACCCCAACTGCCACGGCCACTGCCTCAATTCAAACCTACCCGCCCATAGGAGATGACCTTGCTGTACATTAAACAACTACAGTAATGTGGTCAAATACACGGAAACTCGCGTTATATAAATGACAGCAGGTTTGTCTGGAAGGTGTACCTTCGTCCAATAGCTGTTTAGTTATTTAGTACTTTTGAATAACGAAAAACAAGCAAGCACCGGATTCTTTATCAGGTCATATCCAGCAATTCTATTAAATAATAGGGGGCACGGGTGGCCAAGTCGTCTAAGGCTCCGCGTTTCGCTGTGCAGAGTTGCGTCCCTTGGGCACGCCAGAAACCTATGATTGTGGGTTCGAATCCCGGTTCGACCCAATTATGTTTCTAGGTTTGCCAGCACCATACCAGTGCTCGTGGGTTTCACCGAAGTGGTAAACGTCTGAGACCTGCATCACTTCGGGCTTTCCTCCCACATGAGGCTGACACGCCGCGATATAACTGGAATACTGTTAAAAGCGGCGTTAAACCCAACTCACTCACTCACTCACTATTAAATAATAAAAAAGGCTATATCTTGTTCAGATAGTCAGTACTTTGAATAACCAAAAACTAACCAGAGGCAGGTTCGTTATTCAGACTTGGTATAACAAATATAAGATGCCGTTTTTCCAGCGGGTTCGTTTTTCGTTATTCGTTTTTAGAATAACGAAAAACAAGCCAGCAGCGGATTCGTTGTGTTAACCCACTACAGTATAGTTGTCAATTACTCCTATTAAAACTCATTAAATAAAGATAGCAAGTTCGTCTTACAGGTGTATCATCGTGAAAAAGGTGTTAAGTTATATATACGTCCAATTTATTATGACCAATGGGGCGGTAGGGTAGTCTAGTGGGTAAAGCGTTCGCTAGCCACGTCGAAGACCCGGGATCGATTCCTCTCATGGGTACAATGTGTGAAGCTATTTACTTGAAAAACTCAAACATCTGATTCTTTCATATTTCTATAGTTAATATGTCATACCGTGGCAATTTGTTTCCTTGTTTGTTTGATGTTTAACTCAACAATGTTCTAGCTATATGACTTGGTCTTTAAATGGGCCAGACAATCCAGTAGTTGACATCACGAGCATCGATCTACGCAAACGGGATACGATGGCATGCGTCATGACGTTAAACAACAAACAAACAAAAGTTTATA